GACTCTTACCAAGTGGTATACCCTGATCTTTAACGAGCTGCATCAGTTCCTGCGACCCGCCTGTCTCTGGGTGAATGAATGTCCCGTGACCGATTCTGTCTATAAGTTCAGTCTTCAAGACTTCCAGTGTTTCCTTTTCATTTACAACCTACACAGTTAGAAGGATGGAAAATATGATTAAAAATTTGTAATGGAAGACTTTACAGTCTTTGAAATCAAATCCTGTATAACAGAAAATATCATTTTTGACTAAAACTTATTTGGATACATCCACAGAAAAAAAGGATATCTCACAAATACTTCATTCTAATATTTACAAATTCCAATATTTCCATGTCCATTATCTAAGGGCAATTATGTAACATATCATAATGCAGGCAGTGATAACTAACCTCTGCAAGATGAACTGAAAGCTTGAGTCCACACTGCTTTGCTTCTCGCAGTACAGGGATATATTCGACTAGATTACCAGCTCGGGGATTCCCACTTATGTCTATTCCACATATAAGATTTTTGAAACGTTCCTGAAAATATTTTAAAATAATTATGATCAACAAGCTTTACATTTCCCAGCATTATACAGCCAAAAAAGCTGGAGAAAATGGATATCAAACTTCAAATATACTTACCAGTGAAAACTTTAAAGAGAAAAATGAGGAAAAAAATAAACTCACATGAGCTGCATATTGCTTAGCTAACTGCAGCGTGTCCCATGCATCATCCAAACCTCGAGAACGGTCGATGGAAATGAGTAAGCGAATAGTAATAGTGTTCAGCTTCATTTCATCTCTGTGAATGGTGGTGTGATTTGCGTGGTTAAAACAATTACTTTTTCCATTTTTTTTCCCCATTACACTGGAGAATTTTTAGGTGAAATGAATGCCTGACTTGAATGGAAATATCATTACCATTAAGAACAAGAAATGAAACCTAATAAGTGAACAAAATGCTATAATGAAAGGAATGAAATAGTGATCACAACTCACATCATAGCCTCGAGAACTGTATCGATATACTGATTCTTTGTCATTACTCCATTAATGGATTTTGGGGTCGTTCTCAGCTCCAGATATCGCACATTGTCCGCTACAAACTCCTGAATAACATCCCTTGCTATGGTTTTTATTGCACTGAGATTGTCCGTTAGGCAGTGTAGTATCCTGAAGACTTCAAAACATCTGGAAAGGAGAAGGGATTTCGTTGGTGTTGAAAGAATGAGTGTTTATCAATACTCATTATAAGTGCACTTCAAGTTATGATCAAAAGTGAATGTACATAAACTATGGGTGAGCATGAAGATTAATTTTGCACACAGTTACCCTAAAAAAAAATAATAATAAAAAAAAAATAATAATAATAATAAATAAATAAAGACGCCAATATATTTTACTCAACTCCTCAAGTGTGCGCTTGTGGCCCCGTTGGATGGTAACCTCTGCTGACTGGGGTAGGTTGGCGCCCCCTTCAGCCTGCTTTGCTCGCAGAAGCTTAAGTACTGTTTCATCGCTCAGAGATCCTGTGAGGTGAGCATGAAGTTCCTGCGGAGAAAGTGACGACTTTTAGGACTTGGGTCATGAAGGGTCAAAGGGCAATGATTAATCTAAGAGAGAGGGAGATGGAGAGGGAGAATGAAAGAAGGAGATAAGGAAAGGGAGAGTGATAAAGAGGGAGAGGAAGAAGGACTAGCAGAATGAGTAAGAGAAAGTGAGAGAGAGAGAGAGAGAGAGAGAGAGAGACATAGAGAGAGAGAGAGAGAGAGGAGAAGAGAGAGAGAGAGAGAGAGAGGAGAGAGAGAGAGAGAGAGAGAGAGAGAGAGAGAGAGAGAGAGAGGAGAGAGAGAGAGAAAGAGAGAGAGAGAGAGAGAGAGAGAGAGAGAGAGAGAGAGAGAGAGAGAGAGAGAGAGAGAGAGAGAGAGAGAGAGAGAGAGAGAGAAAAGAGAGAGAGAGAGAGAGAGAGAGAGAGAGAGAGAGAGAGAGAGAGAGAGAGAGAGAGAGAGAGAGAGAGAGAGAGAGAGAGAGAGAGAGAGAGATTCAAATAAAATCAGAAATTTCATAAACTATTTTCATCATATGATGTTCCAAAACTGAAAAATAAAATAAAATAAGATCAAAAGAAGTCATCCATAACAAAAAATAGATAGTATACTTAGATATTTATGAATTTAAAAAATACTTTTGTTTTTAAGATTATTTCAGGTTTAATTACACAAACTGATATTGACAATATTCTATCACCAAAACAAAGAATAAAGCCATACAATATAATTTCAAAAATTCTATGTAATCAATGCTGAATATATATATAGAGTATATATAAATGATATATCAACAGAACATATAGCATACCCTTGTTTTACAAAAACTGGAGAGGTACAATAATATATTTAATTTGTAGATAACCATACATTTTCTAACATTAATTGGCCTAATATTTCATTAACAAAAATGCTTTAGGAAAAATATATAATCAAAATCCTTGAAGTGGTTATCATAGGAAGTTATAAAACAATTTAATTTATAACCATTAATGATTTAGATTTTTAGGTTAACTCTAAGGGGGAAAAAATAGTCAATAAGGGAAGAAATATTAGAGCTATAGGTCTGTGTGAAAGATATCAGAAATTGAACATCATTGAATTCATTATCTTTGAACTGAATCGCAATAAAATACCACTAGCAGAGTTTAGTCATATAAAAAAAAATCTACAGAAGTTAAAATTAAAAAATCAGAATTCTACATAACTTCAAATATTAATGTGAAAACAACTGAAATTTAAAATCTAAGTAAGAATCTACTGAAGTAAAAATTCAAAATAGAAAATGACAAAGTTCAAATTTTAAAGTAAAATATTCACCAAGTGTAACATTTCAAGATGAAACATGTATTGGATAAACTTCCAAAGCTAAATCTACTTCAATCTACTTCAATTAAAAATTTCAACACTTAAATTCTACTTCTTTTAAGATGCTGGTAATTCTAAGTAATTCAGTCGCACTTTTTTTTTTTTTTTTTTTTTTTCTCCTACCCCCTTCAATCTTTGGGGACCCGTGGAGAATCGGAGGTTGAAGGGGGGGGGTACACGAACACGGGAGAAATGGTGGAATCAAAAGTGTAAATTTTGAAGAAATAAAAAAGTGTGGTGCCGCTGTAAGAAGCCCCGGAGTCAGTGTTGCCGAAATCCCGAAGGAAATTTCTTAACCTCAACTAACCTAATCAATCCTTACCTAACCTATCCTAACCAACCCAACCCAACCTAACCTACCCAACCTAACCTAACCAGCCCAATATTACATAACATAACAACATAACATAATATAACATAACATAACCCAACCCCAACCCAACCTAACCTAACCTAACCTAACCAACCCAACATAACATAACCTAACCCAACCTAACCTAACCTAACCCAACCTAACCTAACCAACCCAACATAACCTAACCTAACCAACCCAACCTAACCTAATCAACCCAACATAACATAACCTAACCCAACCCAACCTAACCTAACCCAACCCAACCCAACCCAACCCAACCCAACCCAACCTAACCTAACCAGCCCAATATTAAATAACATAACACATAACATAACGTAACATAACAATAACCCAACCAACCCAACCTAACCTAACCTAACCTAACCAACCCAACATAACATAACCTAACCCAACCTAACCTAACTAACCCAACCTAACCTAACCAACCCAACATAACCTAACCTAACCAACCCAACCTAACTAATCAACCCAACAATAACATAACCTAACCCAACCCAACACAACCTAACCTAACCTAACCACCTAACCTAACCTAACCATCCCAACCAACATAGCCTAACCCAACCTAACCTAACCAACCCAACATATCCTAAACCTAACCAACCCAACCTAACCTAATCAACCCAACATAACATAACCTAACCCAACCCAACCTAACCTAACCAACCCAACACAACCTAACCTAACCTAACCTAACCAACCTAACCTAACCTAACCATCCCAACCCAACATAGCCTAACCCAACCTAACCTAACCAACCCAACATAGCCTAACCCAACCTAACCTAACCAACCCAACATAGCCTAACCCAACATAACATAACCTCACCAACCCAACATAACATAACATAACCCAACATAACCTAACCTAACTTAACCAACCCAACATAACCTAACCTAACCAACCCAACATAACCTAACCAACCCAACATAACCTAACTAACGCAACATAACCTAACCTAACCAACCCAACCCAACTAACTTAAAACTACCCAACCTAACCTAACCAACCCAACATAACCTAACCAACCCAACATAACCTAACCTAACCCAACATAACCTAACCAATCCAACATAACTAACCAAACCAACCTAACCTAACCTAACCCAACATAGCCTAACCTAACCAACCCAACATATCATCATCATCATGGGGGCTGACGCCGATGGGGGCGCATAGCCGCATCCCCCTTCGCTTCCACCTACGAGGATCCCTCATGGCTAGACGCCAACATAACCTAATTGACCCAAATAACCAATCCAACATAACCTAACTTAACTAACCCAACATAACCTAACCTACCCAACCCAACATAACCTAACCTAACCAACCCAACATAACGTAACCCAATCTAACCAACATAACCTAACCTATCCTTTTCTAACCTAACCTGACCTAACCAACCTACGCCTATCCTTTTCTAACCTAACCTAACCACTTAACCTATCCTTTTGTAACCTAACCTGACCTAACCTATCCTTTTCTAACCTAACCTGACCTAACAACCTAACCTATCCTTCTAACCTAACCTGACCAACTTAACCTATCCTTTTCTAACCTAACCTGACCTAACCAACCTAACCTAACAAAATCTAACCAACCTAACCTAACCTATCCTTTTCTAACCTAACCTGACCTAACCAACCTAACCTAACCTAACCTAACCAACCTATCCTATCCTTTTCTAACCTAACCTGACCAACCTATCCTTTTCTAACCTAA